AAGAGAGGAGGAAAATGGTTCACTGGAGTTTTTCTCTTTAAAATCTTTTTTCTTTCTTTACTTTCTTGAAGGTCTTTTTCTCTATTTTATTTCATGGTATCGGAGCCAACAAGAGAATTAGGGTGCTGACAAAATAACCCAAAATCCGCTTGCTTAGAGAATCAAACTGTTCCTGTCTGCTTTTTCTTTTTTGATTTTATGACCGATAAAAATGGAAACTCTTTTGTTATATGTCCTATACCAACCCAATTCATTTCTTTGGTAGATCCTAACACGAATTATGTACACAATGAGGATCACAATCATTGATACAGTTTGGGGTACCGAGCTATCTGCCAGTGCGGAGAGACTTTCTAGACTAGATATTGAGTACTACTCTAGAATAGGGGAAAGGGTGATTCGCTCGTAAGCCCAACTCTAACTCATTCAGAAAGTCTAGCTCGATCGATCACATGTCAGTTGACCCAATAAAAACCGGAGAATTGCCTTGCCTCCTTGAGACCCAAAACGCATCCCAGACCCCGGTCCTCGAAGGCCTAAGTACGAGAGCTCTAAAGCAGGAGCTATTCCCGTTGTTGTTGTGCTTTCATGGGGAGAGTACACAGGAATCGTTCCAACCTCTTTAAATCGGTCGGTATCAAAGGATCGAAAGAGCGAAGGTTACGTTCACATTTCTAAGAGTTCCTCCAGGCATAATCAACAGGAGAGAGCGGTTACGAGAGCAGTGGATGATTTCACAATTACCCAAACGGGTAGCAACGGTTACTGATTAACTGACTGAACCACCAGGAGCTTATTCTAGACCATCAAATCCGCAAAGACAAAGATGAGAATCAACAGTAGGAGTAGCACGTTTTCGACCAGGAACAGCAGATAAGCTAACAGAAGACGATCTTTAGCAGGCACATTCAATTCAACTAATTCCACACCAATCCTCTTGTTCTGGCATATGCCTCTTCTTCAGCCCTTTACAGGGTTTGAACATCCGATTCGTTCACAGCTGATTGATTCAATAGCTGCTTCTTCTCAAGCGCCATTCTAGCTTCCTATTCAATAGCAATTGATCCGAAAGTAACTGATGTCCCAGTAAGAGGACCAGTAGGTAATAGTTCTCCTACCGCTATTGGAATTCTATATGTTGCTAGTTTCATTTCTTCTCCTGAGCATTACGCAAGCAATCCAGAGAGCGAGGGATACACTTTCCTTTCAGTGCTAGTTCACAGTGATGGAAGCGATCGAATACGTTCCATCCATAGGCGAGAATAGTTTGCAGGCCTTTAAGCAGGAGAGGAATAGATGTTTTCTAGGGCGGCAAGGGCTCAAAGCTAGTCTCTTTCCATGTGTGTTGGCAAAAGCTACGTTTATTAATATAGTTAGCTTTCGACCTGCTCACTTAGAATGAAGCTCTTTCGCTCTCTTCTCTTGTTCGTGTTTGGAGTCTCTCTTCCCTGCGTTGGGAATGCTAACGCATTTCCTTGTTCGTTTCGTTTTGTGTATATGTCAGAATGAGACTGAAAAGCTTCGTTGCCGTTGTAAATTTTTCACTTAATCGCGCATCATTTTCGAGAAGATCATAACAGACGTTTTAATCTTTAATCTCCTCATTCCTACTCTATTTTCTTGTGTGCGATCCTTTTTTAGGATCCTTCTTTCAGGAACCCTGACGCGGAATAACTCTGAAGAAGAGTCCTACGGCGAACTTCAAACTGAAGACGAACCGGGCGTTCGATCAGACACGAAATCAGGTATAGCCACCAGCCTAGATAGAACGGGCGGGGGAAGAAAAACTAGGAGCGAGACACATTCAAGAGGGTTGTCAAAGGCCCTCTCAATAGAGCAATTTTGTCATTGAATCGATGGAGGGAAGACTCCTTCGGTAGGGGCCCCCGACTCTTCCTGTTTCAGGGATGGGATCTTATGGCTTAATCTCTGATTGCGCGGGATTCATCTTTGTTTGGTACCCTCTGGCCCTGAACCAGGGGTTGGAAGCGCCTTTGCCAGACTTTCCAATTGAACACGCTGCGGGCGATGAAACTCGGCAAGGAGAAGGCTGAACCCAGGTGCTACACTACAGTAGAAGCTTTGGCAGTTTACCATGGCTTGATGTTATAGTTGTCATGCTAAAGCCGTTGATAGCTACTTCGCTTGACGAGCTAAGTAGAAAGACTTTCTGGATTCATCCACAACTGATGGTGCTTGCTTTAGGTTGATCCGATCCCTAGTTCGGATTCGGAAAGGCTCTGACTCTTTCACCGGTTAGGTTCCCGGCTTGTGCCCCTAGCTAGTAGGTAGGTGAAAGCACTTTTGGCAATGGCTTTTCGAAAGCCTTTTATAGAACAGGGAGGCGTTTAGTTCAGTTCCTTTGGTTTGGAAGCGAGACAGATGTTGGGAAAAGCAAGTCCTCGGTCTTTGATGAAAAAAGAATCTTTGTGGAACTCGGCAAAATAGCCCCGTAACTTCGGGAGAAGGGGTGCCTCCTCACAAAGGGGGTCGCAGTGACCAGGCCCGGGCGACTGTTTACCAAAA